GAAAGGTCGTTCTGACGTGACCCGTAATGGGATGTCCTCAGATCTTTGTTTAGCGGTAGCGAGAACTAAGATCTGATTTTAATGAGATTGCTCCGGCGTTCATACAGTTTGGCCCCTACTCTGTGAAGGTTCGTGCTCCAATGAACTCACACAAAGTGAAGGTCAATTCTTAAAGTTTTTATATCACTGTTTAATACCTCGAATGGTCTAGATCTATATACAATTCTATTTAGTACGTGTGACTTCTTGTTTCACTGACAACCCTACAACAACCACCTGTATTGCTGAATGATGTAGTTCCTCAAAAGGAGAGGTGACATGAGTTTGTGTACAACATATATATTCAAATAGTATCATTATTAGATGAGAAAGGTCTGTAAAGAACTACCTCAGTAAGTCAGTCACAATGACGGCGCGTAGTAATACATTAACATCAAGTACAAGACGTCAAAATGGCCGACACGATAAACATGACTGGAGAGATTTCCGAAGTTGTTCAGGTAACTTCATAGATTGCTGTAGACTGTCACTGTGAGTCTAGACACGGATGTGTCGATTCCACCATAGCTTGGATGTGCATTTCTTCGTTTTGTTCATTAGGATGGGTCGTAGCGAGGATATTGGTGAACGGGCATGCAGACAAACTATCTGACTTATCCTTATTTATACTAAACGCGTAATGGGTAAAGGGTCTAAATACAGTAAACTACGGTTATAACGAACTCAAAGGGACTACTAATATTAGTTCGTTATAACCGTAGTTCGTTATAAGCATATATACAGTATAACTACAGCAAATAGTCGGGACTAAAAAGTTAGTTCGTTATATCCGTTAGTTCGTTATAAGCGTGTTCGTTATAACCGTAGTTTACTGTAATCAGGAACAACGCTTCTGTATTTATTCGTGCTAGGGAATTTCCAGGGGTCCCACGGGAATGTGGAAGTAGTCCGTCAGTGTTTACGTCATTTCAAGAACACAGTCTCGGGAAAAACGTATGGGCAGTTTCGGGGTCATGTGACCGACCTCTCGTCTAATTAAAACGCCGTCTATCGTGTAAACTTTACAGTAAAAAATATTTGACAGTCATTTGATGTTTTTTTGCATACAAAACAGAGCCCGTTGCATCATGATTTATTGTCAAAATTATTTCTTTTTTTTTAGTTTTGAGCATATGTAAATATATTGAATAAATTGCAATGATGCAAAAAAATGTCTCAATGCAAGTGCTTCATTTTACGAAATATATCAATAGTTGTTAGTCGCCTGTGTCCTTACAAAATTACCGGAACAGCATTTTGGCAATTTTCGGTGTATGTATGATTTAACATGCTAGAAACATTCTTTCTATAAACCTGTTCTCTTATTTATTTCCGTCAGTATGGTCCGCGCAACTCGTAACTTGTCGAAAGGTAGTGCATCAATGTTTATTCAGCAGTTTCAAACGGCAGTATTTCTGCAGATTTTTTACTACATTTTATGTTCTTTACCTACATACTGTTGGACAATTACAGTGACTAACGACCATAACGGTTATTTCCACACGTCGTTAGAGGCGACTAACGGCATCGGGTGGTCAGCCTGACTGACATGGTTGATATATGTCATCGTGTCCCAAAAGCGTAGATCGATGCTCATAATGTCCATCACTGGTCCATGATTTATTATTTACAAAACTGCGTCATATTGCTGGAGTATTGCTGAGTGCAGCGTTAAACAACAAATAAAAAGTTATTTCCACAGAAAATGCTAACCGTAACCCCTGTTATAACTGCCGTAAACCCCTGTTGCAACTGCCGTAAACCCCTGTTGTAACTGCCGTAACCCCTTTTGTAACTGCCGTAAACCCCTTTTGTAACTGCCTTAAACCCCTGTTGTAACTGCCGTCACCCCTGTTGTAACTCTCATAACCCCTGTTGTAACTGCCGTAACCCCTTTTGTAACTGCCGTAAACCCCTTTTGTAACTGCCTTAAACCCCTGTTGTAACTGCCTTAAACCCCTGTTGCAACTGCCGTAACCCCTGTTGTAACTGGAGTAACCGCTGTTGTAACTGCCGTAAACCCCTTTTGTAACTGCCGTAAACCCCTTTTGTAACTGCCTTGAACCCCTGTTGTAACTGCCTTAAACCCCTGTTGTAACTGCCGTAACCCCTGTTGTAACTGTCGTAACCCCTGTTGTAACTGCCTTAAACCCCTTTTGTAACTGCCTTAAACCCCTGTTGTAACTGCCGTAAACCCCTTTTGTAACTGCCTTAAACCCCTGTTGTAACTGCCTTAAACCCCTGTTGTAACTCTCATAACCCCTGTTGTAACTGCCGTAACCCCTGTTGTAACTGGAGTAACCCCTGTTGTAACTGCCGTAAACCCCTTTTGTAACTGCCTTAAACCCCTGTTGTAACTGCCGTAAACCCCTTTTGTAACTGCCTTAAACCCCTGTTGTAACTGCCGTCACCCCTGTTGTAACTCTCATAACCCCTGTTGTAACTGCTGTAATCCCTGTTGTAACTGGAGTAACCGCTGTTGTAACTCTCATAACCCCTGTTGCAACTGCCGTAACCCCTGTTGTAACTGGAGTAACCGCTGTTGTAACTGCCGTAAACCCCTGTTGTAACTGGAGTAACCGCTGTTGTAACTGCCTTAAACCCCTGTTGTAACTGCCGTAACCCCTTTTGTAACTGCTGTAACCCCTGTTATGTTGTACCGTCTACAAGAGCTTGCGTTGCGGACTTCGTATTTCGGCAAAGCGATGGCATTTATAGTACTATGTCGGAGTGAAGTGACGTGTCCGTATCCCTAGTCATCACATGATACAGTACATGGGAGTGAGTGAGTATGGTTTTACACCGCTTTCAGTAATATTCCAGCAATAACACGGCTGGGGACACACATTGTACCCAATGTTGGTAATCAAATCCGGGTCGTTGGCTTGACGAGCGAACGCTTTATCCACTGGGCTACCCAACCGCCCCACAGCTCTTGGGAATATGTTCTATTTGTTTCGGAGTGCCTTTCCTTATGAAAATGAAAAAAACAAAAAACCTTGATTGCCTTAGGTATTATATGCATAGCCTTATCTCTCGTATGTAGTGGTTTGGCTGGAGACAAACTTCATTATGACATACTGATAGGACATTCATCTATACCATCATCAAAATTGAAAAAATATCTTCAAGACATTTTGGATAACAATTAGCCAATGTCCTAGAAATGAACAGATCTGAACCCCTGTGTATGCGTATATAAACTGACCTTAAAGACATTTTCAAAAGAACAAACTGTTATTTGATACAAAACAATGTTGATACAACGGACCCCCCTCGGTGTCGCTTTACCTACGTCCACGAGCAACCTGACCGCCATGTGACGCAGGCCGGCGTCCAGACCAATCAGTGCAGACCAAAAGCGCTTCTTTCTGCTGAGTTCCAATTCAGTTAAATATAGCTGCTTTAAAGCCTTCAAGATAAAACGACCCGTCTACATTACGACTATGAGCACAATTTGTGACTAATTTTTAATCGCTTGGATCACTAAGGGTCAGAGATTTTCAATTCGAACTGCTTCCGAATCTAAAGAAAACTTCTACTGATGGCAAACTATTATTGAAAGAATTACTTTGAAGACAATTTTAATTGGGCTATTTCTATCAAATGGCTCTATTAGATGGACAAAGACTACAAAAACTCCCACAAAGATGGGGTGTGGAATAAAGAGCTTGCCATGAAAGGCCTCCATTGCGTTGCTTGATGTCAGAACAGTGGGATCAATGGACAGTGTCCATGGTTTGAGAAAAAAAATGTTTGATGTTACAATATTTTATCCGAGCAATTAAAACACAAATCGACACGTATTTCCTACCTGATGGTCTAACAAAGTCCATACTTACCGAGACCTTGGTTTATAACTTAGACAGCACAAGCATTAAGGCTCTTGACACACTAATGAATAATCTTCGTATATCGTTGCTTACTATATATACTCATATATACTTACAACTGTGTCACATTTATGGTTTTTAAGCCGAAAATTAAAAGTATATCGATTGTTTTTGGAAACAGGAATTAGAAATGTCTTTGTGCGATTTGAGTAAGTGAGTGAGTGTGGTTTTACGCCGCTTTTAGCAATATTTCAGCAATATCACAGCGAGGGACATCAGAAATGGGTTCACGCATTGCACTCGTGCGGGGAATCGAACCCGGGTCTTTGGTGTGAGGAGCGAACGCTTTAACCACTAGACTACCCCACCGCCCCGTTTTAAGTACACTACCAGGCAAAAGAAAGTATACACCCTTGTTTGACGGTTGCTAAAAACGAAACAAACAAGAAGTGGTTATTGGTGGTGATATATTTGCTACGGGTTTCATAGCTTAGTTTCTGACCCTAAATTGCTTTGTTTCGGTAACTGTTTTCATCCTAGTAGCGTTTTGATAACGTATGTATTTCTTTGCGCAAATCTAGATTTCTAGTATTTACTTTCTTTTACCCGGCAGTTTATTATCTATGATAAAAAACGCTAATGTATACAGTTAATATCACAATGTACATGTTCAAACATAAATCTTTACATTATGCAGCCCACGAAGATCCGGGTTTGAATAGGTCTTCAGCAACCCATACTTGCCGTAAATGGCGACCGGCTTGTACTAAGAGGCAACTAACGGGATCGGGTGATCAGGCTCGCTGAGTTGGTTGATGCATGTCATCGATCCCAATTGCGTGGATCAATGCTCATGATGTCAAACACTGGATTGTCAGGTCCAGACTCGATTATTTACAGACCGCCGCCATAGTGCTGGAATAATGCTGAGTGCGGCGTTAAACAACAAACAAACAGACTTTAAATTATACCTGCATTGATGGCAACACTATAGCTCGACACAATCAACACACAAATCAGGTTACACTCAAACTCAGATATAACACTATAAATTCAACAACGGTTAATTCTTCCAATGAATTACACACAGAACACCAATCAATAGGGGCAGACAATGGCTATATTCACCAGCACAGCGGGACAACAGCAGGCCAGGCGTTCCACTGAGTGTCGGCGGTATGTTGTTTGATCTCGCTGTACATAACCAGCAAACCTGAGCGCCAAAACTGCGTATTGATTAATAATGCGCGTCAATCTTCGGCTATTAGACAGATTTATATTAAACCCGATTTGATGAGACCAAATACTTCGTGCCGTCAGATCTTTTTATTATTCCACGTACACGAAAGTATTTGTTATGAAATGACAATGTCAAGTCTGGGTAGACGCCACGCACCAAGCAGCATGTTCGCGCGTTGTTAGGATTGGTAAGACTGGGTTTTGTAGTGTGTGCGCTACATTCAAAGCTGAGCTGTAACTTAGTTTATATACACTGACGGGCAAAAGAAAGTATCCACCTGTATTTGATGGTTGCTAAAAATGAAACAAACAAGAAATGGTTATTCAATGGTGATGCTTTGATACCATTCTTCACCACTCGCCCCTTCCGTAACCTGCAAGAAGACTCGCCCCCCTATCGATGAATGTTATGTGCGAAAATACGACAAACCAATCAGAATGCGCGTATGATTTCAAGTTCTTCCTCAAAGAATCCCTCAGAAATAATTTTTGATTTTACATGTGTGTTGCATCTAAAAATATACCCAAGACACAGTTAAATGTGTTCAATCATATTGTATAATTCCGCACGTCCAAATATGCTTTAAATTGCATCTGAAACATATAAAATATATGGGGAAATGTGTGTGAACCATTACGCAACGATTTGACAATTGTTTTAGGTATGCCCGTTTGCGCTAAGACGGAACCCAGTCGCAAAAATGGCCATATGAGGGGCACGAGTCGCTATTCGGCTTGTCCCGGAATAACACGAGTTGGTCACGAATGGCTTTGATACGGGTATCATAGTTGTGTTTTGGACCTTAAGTTTGCAGTGTTTCGGCGACTGTTTTCAGCCTAGAAACGTTATGATAACGTTTGTCAAATCCAATTGCCTTGTGTATATTTTTTTCCGGCAGTAGACATGAGCTTTTTATTAGAGAAATCTACGTGTTTTGAATTTAGCGATAAGTTCGGTTCTGAATTCAATATTGCGCTGTTAAATCTTCAGGTAACCAAACTTTCCATTGAAAACGACCGCCTCCGTGGTCTAGTGGTGGAGTGTTCGCCCTGAGAGCGGATGGTCCAGGGTTCGATCCCGGCCGCGTCATACCAAAAGACGGTACTTGTTGTTACCCTGCCTGGTGCTCGGCATTAAGGGGCTAAAGATTAATACTGTTCGGCTCGGAGTCGGCCGACTGTCTGAGTGGGTAATTCGTGTTAAACTGCGGCATGGTATCTCACTAGGCTAGCACTATAAAATCGGCATTAGTCCGGACAAGGACAAACAGCCACATACGCACACAAACACACGTACATTACCTCGCCTCACCTACATTGAAAGTTGAGTCTGTTGATCTAACTCACCTACTCTCTCACTTTACAATGTCCCAGAAACATTACCAGAGGGAGGGATTGAGGATTCTCATATGTCTTTGAGCAGTTTTTCAAAAGGATATTTTGCTTAAATTAAATACTGAAACTCGAGGTGCTGTGGAAGCTGTTCAAGATCCAAAAAACATCATCGTGACTGTTCAGCAGATACATGAATGATATTAAAGAATGTTTTTGTTGTTTAACGCAACACTCGTCAATATTACTGCTATTTGACCGCATGCAAAGTTTCGAATCAAGACAAACTTATGATTGATGTTATGAACACACGCCATGGGTATCCGATCAATTAACTCGCCTCTTACATGCTACAAAGGGGACCTATTCTAACCCGAAATCCCCCACGTAAAGAATTAATGATAAAACGAATGAGTACTTGATAAAAAACAACTGTCGGGTTTCAGATAAACAACTATTGTATGAAGACATCGATCCCCTGGCATTCCTCTCACATCGACTACCGCGTATCAACAACATACTACCCCCACAAGATAACCGTGAGGGTCACATTACCGTGGGCGACCGTCACAGGGAACACGTGGGCGGGGTTAACGCTACTTAAACGGTTTGACAGCTATTTGAGGCCATTTTAAACTAAAAATAAACATTACAAAACCATTTATATGTATTATAAGAGAAAAGAATAACGATCCAATTTGTCAGATAGCTCTGATTCCTACACATTATAAACACCCTACTTTGTCAACTCCGCCCACCCATTGTGTCGCACGCACACGTATATGTTACAGGAGAGGCAGTAAATCATGTTATTTGTTAAATTAATTCGTATCCAAAGCCAGGGTTGCCAATTCCCGAGGTATAAACATATCATGATGTCCTCCAGAAGACAAACCTCGTTGCTGACTGTGGGAGACTGGAACCACGCTCTGAGGACGCGATGAAGAGTTCATTTTTTCACAATCAATTTTCGTACATTTTTTTATGAGAAAGGTGTCGTACTCAGCATATGTCATATAAATAACTTTAACATAAACGGACGGCCAAAAGAAACTTCACCACATCAAAAATGAAATTGCAAACAATTAAAAGCACAAGTTCAAACTAAATCAATGCAAAACGCATCGTCCAAACTCAACAATGCTCTATGCATATAAAGTGATACACTCGTCACCACTCACCCCTTTCCGTAATCTTCTACGCTATTCGGCTTGTCCCGGAATAACACGAGTTGGTCACGATGGAAAGTGATACACATCCACGGCACACATTTTTTGGTAGAAAATATGAAAACACTTGCCGCTTAGACAGTCGAAACTACAGGTGAAATTCCGATATATCAATGATACGGACGGCATGTCAGACACTGATGCCCCCCCCCCCCCCCCCCCCCCCCCCCCCTCCCCGGCCCCCAAGAAATGCCATGTACGGAAGCCTTTTTATATATGTATATTATTTGTATATTTCTTTTTAAGTGCAATTTCATGATACTTAATTGACATTTCAAGGTGTTATGCTGAAATTTCAAGATAATAAGTTTAAATTTCAAGATGCTATGTTGAAATTTCAAGATACATAAGTTGGATACATAAGTTGAAATTTCAAGATAATATTCTTGAGATATCAAGATACATAGGTTGAATTTATTATCTTGAAATCGTGAAATTTCAACTTGTTTTATTGAAATTGCAAATTAGTATCTTGAAATTTCAAGAAAAAACCTGACACCCGAACAACGCGAGGTGACTCTGGGTATGATACAAAGGGGGCCACGCATGTATAAAGAATGGAGCCAGATCTTGGTGTCTCCTGTTGTGATATTATTAAAATATCGAATTAAGTGGATTGCTTATCCTGTCTGACACGTGTATGGATCATGGATCATCTCAGACCATAGCAGGTCCATGGCGACAGTCCTTCACTAGATTTAGCCTCCATTGGTAAAGAATAGGACGTCTCCATGGAAACAGTCGACAAACAAGGTTAAGGTCTCCTGTGGTACCCAAACGCTGATTTTAATTGTCCTAGTTTAACATGTCTCGCCATCGGCCATTACGGAGCTTCCAGTCTGCATCATCGGAAAGACTTTCGACCGTAACCCCCTCCAAAAATTACATGTGAATGCGTTGCCGCTCAATCCTTTTAATAACATTGTTTTAGGGGTATACGGGCGGCAGTCTCACCGCATCCTCTACAACCCAGGGTATTATAGTCCCATTCCAATAATAAATACTCTAAACCCATCGTTACTATAGCTTCCATCTGAGTCCGATCCGATTGACGAACGGATGCTAAAAATAGCTGTCTAATCAGAATGCATTCTTGAGCGAGATAATGTTTGTGCTAAGTTCGTGATAATAGAATCGGAAATGGTGACGTCAGTTCTGAAACTGAAACAGGGTCTTTGTGTTCAATGTATACGAGGAACAATATTTAAGACATAAGAATGAAATTACACGTTTGAAGGACGAGTCACAGTTAGTGAACGCGCAAAGCAAACTCGCTCAAGCTTGGCATAGTGCACTTATAAAGCAAGCCGTGCACGGTGACCCATCCTGGGTACTGGCATGTGCAAATAAACATCATAAGCACATGGTTCATTGTGGTACAAAGAAGGAATGCCTCAAAAAGTGTACACGACAGAAAATCTGGCCAGTCAGAGAATGCAGTTGCCAGACACTTTGGTAAATCTGAAAGTGTGAGATCCCGACTGATTGAACAATGACGGCAAACATGTGGGGTTAAGATTAGGGTGGGTAGAGGATGGCCTAGAAGACTATTCCCAGACAGGATCGATATGTACGCGCCATTGCGTTCAGGAACAGATATATTTTTGCACCAGAAGTAAGGGACAAGTTCAGGGCTATCACAAGGATCCGACGAGCGACGTCAGCGATACGAAACAGTTTGAAAAATGCGTACGTCCTTTCAGAGGAATGCCTCAGTCTGTGGCACACAGGCACCTCAGACAACATTGCCAAAGCAGTGTTGAGGTCGTCAACAGTGGCATTGCAGATACATCATGTTTTCTGATACATCGAGGTTCTGTTTACGTTATACGGCATGGGGTGGTCAGGCTCGGTGACTAGGTTGATGCATATCATCGTGTCCCAAATGTGTAGATAGATTCCCATGATATCAGTTACTGGATTGTCTGGTCCAGACTCTCGATTATGTACAGACCGCCGTCATATAGCTGGAATATTGCTGAGTGCGGCGTTAAGCAACAAATAAACAAAACAAACAAAACTCTCCATATCTTAAAAATAAAGGAGCCGAGCGCCCACCTCTAAGCTTAAGGGGTTAGTAAATATACTTTGTAGTTAGTAAATTATGAGAAGAAGATTCTTTGAAAGATGGATAGTAATCTCTACTAACTGATTAGTAAGTTGAACTTGTCTACAATAGGCCACCTGTAATAGTCTAATCGGTAAATATTTAATACAGGTTAGAAAAATCTCCTCACAAGTTAGCGTCGGAGTGCAATTCATTAAGTAAGTAAACATCACTAACTTTTTCTGTCAGTGTGTAGATCAAACTTGAACGTGAACGGCAAACACCTGAAGTGTCTCCGGGCAGATTGTTACAACACTTGCTCTTGTATCGATACAGACCGGGTTCATCCAGCT